GCTCCGCGATCAGCTCCTGCTGCTGCCACTTGTTGCGCTGCAAGAGACGCAAGGGGTGGCCGGGGAGGGGCGCGTGTCCCCTGTGTCCCCCCCCACTGTGGGGACACCCGCCCTGTCCTCACCTTCTCCATCTTCTTAGCCTCCTGTGCCAGCATCTTCTCCCGCATCACCTCCTCCTGCTTCTTCCGCGTCTCGTTCTCCTGCTCCGCGTCCTGCGGGAGGGGGACCAGGGGACAGAGGTGGCATTGAGGGGGTGTTTGGTGCTTCCCTGCCCATTGTGGCCACCCGCTCCCCCCTTGTCACCTTATAGGAGCGGATGAAGCGGACGAAGACGGGGAAGAACACGGACGGGGGGGTTGTCTTGGGGCTCTCGCCGAAATACCGCACCACTGTGTTGTAGGCGTCCTGGCCGCGTGCATGGGACATCAGCGACCTCTCCCCAAGCCCCACGAGGCCCCAGGGGCGTGCGAGGAGCAAGGCGGGTAAAGCCAGGGGTGCCACACATGGTGAGCGTGCAAGGCAGGTGCGTGCTGCGCGTGCAAGACGAGGCATGCACAAGGGGCGTGCAAAAGCAGGGGGTGCATGAGGGGTGTGCAAAGGGAGGGCTGCACAAAAGGGTTGTAAAGCAAAGGGTGTACAAGGAGTGTGCAAATCCAGGGATGCACGAGGGGTGTGCAAAGCACACGTGCATTACCAGGCATGCATTCTGAGTGCAATAGGGGTGTGCAGAGCGAGGCCTGCATGAAAAGAGTGTAAAGCAAAGGGTGCACAAAGGGTGTGCAAAAGCAGGGGTGAGACTTGTACAAACCAAGGCCTGCATTGAGTGCAACACGGGCGTGCAAAACCAGGGGCACGCGAGGGTTGTGCAAAGCACGGTGCGACAGCGGGCTCGGGACGTGCGAGGCCTCACCTCGGCCGTGCGCGCGTCCTTCTGCAGCCGCTCCAGCTTGCCCTCGCTCGCGGCCAGGAAGGTGCGCAGCACGCCGTGCTCGTGCAGCGCGCACTCGCGCCGCAGCAGCTCCATGCCGCGGCCCAGCTCCTTCACGTCCAGCAGCACGTTCTCCAGGGACACTGCGGCGGGACGCACGGCCACGGCGTCGGCGGCGCCGGGTCTCCGCGTGGCCGTGGGGCCCGGGGCCACCCGTTACCTGCGGCCGGCTTTTCCACCAAGGGGAGGCC